TAGGAGTAACTTTCCGAGCCTCCCCCGGGCGAGCGGGGGTGGCCACGTGGCGGCTAGTAGCAGTAGAAGTAACTTTCCGAGCCTCCCCCGGGCGAGCGGGGGTGGCCACGTGGCGGCTAGTAGCAGTAGGAGAAACTTTCCGAGCCTCGCCCGGGCGAGAGGGGGTGGCCACGTGGCAGCTAGTAGCAGTAGGAGTAACTTTCCGAGCCTCGCCCGGGCGAGCGGGGGTGGACACGTGGCGGCTAGTAGCAGTAGCAGCAATTTTCCGACCCTCCCCGAGGGCGAGCGGGGTTGGCCTCGCTCTCCCCTCTACGTAATTCTCGACGTAATTCATTGTTTGTTTCGTAAAACTATTTGCCCTATTCACTATTATGACTATTATGAATATTATGACTATTATCACTATTGTCACTCTTATCAATCTTATCACTCTTATCACTCTTATTACTCTTATTACTCTTACTATTCTTATTACTCGTATTACTCTTATTACTCTTATATTACTCTTATTACTCTTATTACTCTTATTACTCTTATTACTCTTATTATATTATTATTATTATTATATATAGAGAGAGAGAGAGAGAAGGGGAGGGGGGAGAAGACGAGGAGAGGGAGGGAAAGGGAGAGAGGGAGGGAGCCAGGTGGGAAGAGACGTGCTGCCGTGCTAGGAGGAGAGCCAATCGGAGGCCTCGGACCCGACCCGAGAGAGGGAGGCCCTCCCCGGGCGAGGCTGAAAAGTTACTCCTACTACTACTAGCTGCCACGTGGCCCCCCCCGCTCGCCCCCCGCTCGCCCGGGCGAGGCTGAAAAAGTTACTCCTACTACTACTAGCTGCCACGTGGCCACCCCCGCTCGCCCGGGCGAGGCTCGGAAAGTTACTCCTACTGCTACTAGCCGCCACGTGGCCACCCCCGCTCGCCTGGGCGAGGCTCGGAACGTTACTCCTACTGCTACTAGCCGCCACGTGGCCACCCCCGCTCGCCCGGGCGAGGCTCGGAAAGTTACTCCTACTGCTACTAGCCGCCACGTGGCCACCCCCGCTCGCCCGGGCGAGGCTCGGAAAGTTACTCCTACTGCTACTAGCCGCCACGTGGTCACCCCCGCTCGCCCGGGCGAGGCTGAAAAAGTTACTCCTACTACTACTAGCTGCCACGTGGCCACCCCGCTCGCCCGGGCGAGGCTGAAAGGTTGCTCCTACTGCTACTAGGCGCCACAAGACGTAGATAACTCTCAGACACACGTAAACATACGGAGGTGGGCACGCTCGAGAGGCCAGGGCGCGGGCGCTGGAGCCTGGAGGTGGTACATTGTACATCGCTCATCGGTCCGTTGAAGGGGCCGCCACACATTCACGCAGTCTTGCGCCCCTAGGCTCGGTCGTCACCTTCGCGCCGTCGGGCTGGGAGGTGCGCCCGGCGCCTCCTCCTCGTCTTCGGACGAGGACCACGCGGTGAGTTGCCGGTTCTCGCGCGCGCCGGTGGTCGTGTCGATGTCAATGGCGAGGCAGTGGGTGATGGCGTACAGGAGGCGCTCGCGGCAGATCGCCGCTGAGGTGTATGCGGGGAGCTCGAGCGAGAAGAAGCAGGTGTGCGCCACGGGGAAGAGCGCGTCGGGCCGCGGCGACTGCTTGGTGTGCAGCGTGAAGCGCGTGTCCCCCCACTCCGCCGCAGAGATGGGCAGCCGCGAGCGGCCCCACACGAAGCGGAGGAAGGCGGATCGCTGCTCGGGCGTGAAGCCGCGCAGCGCGGCCCAAAAGTAGCGCACGTGCCTGCGCGCGGCGGCGAGTGTGAGGAGGGCGCTGCCCGCAGCAGAGGGTGGGGCGGAAGGAGGGGGGCGGAGCAGCAGCACGGGGGCACGGGAAGGTGGGGCGGACGGGCGCGCCGCTGCACAGACGAGACGCCGACGCCGTACTTGGTGCGGCCGCGCAGCACCTCCACGCTCACGTCGGCCGACCCGCACGCGAGCCGCTCGAGCTGCTCCCATGTGAAGAGCGAGAGGAGCCGCTGCGGCAGGACGAGGGAGATGCCCTGCAGGAGCGCGTCGCACTGCTGCCGCGACTCGCGCAGCCGCGCGGCGAGCACGGCGTCGCAGTAGTCGTGCCGGCTCTCAAAGGTGACGCGGCTGTGGCGGCCGCCCGGCAAGAGCTCCACCTGCGCGACGCACGTGGACGTGTCATGGACGGGCCCGAGGGGCATGGTTGTGGCCGCCACGGCGTCAGCTCTCGCCTCGGAGCCGTCCGAGAGCTGCGTCTGGAAGGTCTCGAAGATGACGTCGCCGAAGAGGGCGGCGTCGACGCCCTCCTGCTCACACGGGTCGGCCGTGAGGCGGACAGCGCCCACGGCTCGAGCGCGGGCGGGGGCACCCTCCTGGTCGATGGTGCGCAGCTTTTGCAGGCTCTGCCAGCAGAGCTCGTCGGTGCCTCGCAAGTCCGACTCGTCGAGCGGCTGCGAGACAAGCTGCTTCCACACGAGCGAGGGCAGGTTGAGGGGCAGCTGCGTCTCCTTTTGCCGCAGCGCGAGCCCGAGCAGCTGGCCGACGAAGCGGAACCAGCCGAGCTCGCGCGCCGACGAGGCCGCCGGCCGTGGCAGGTAGACGTCGCGGCCGGCGCCGACGCCGTGCCGTCCGTTTGGGCAGCGGAGGAGGAGGGGGAGCTGGCCGGACTGGAGCTCGCCGCAGATCTGCGTGATCGCCTCGCGGTACGGCCCGCCGTGGTCGTCCGCCGCCTCGCCGACAAAGTTGACGCGGAAGGCCTGCGGCGACGCGCGGATGCAGCCGTGCCGACGCGCATGCCACGCACAGCGGGGCGAGGAGCGAGGGGATGGTGCGAGGGGGGAGAGGGGCGGGTGGTGCGAAGCGATGGCGCGGCGGGGCGCGCGAGCGCCTTGTCTGCGCGGCAGAGCGCGCGCGGGTGCAGCAGCGAGAGCTGCTCCTGCAGCTGCGCAAGCAGCGTGTGCGACCCGTCGGGGCTCTGCTTGGAGAGCGCTCGCAGGCGGTTGAGGAGGACCTGCGTTGACACCGCCGAGGCTGAGTGCCGCGTCCTGCAGACCTGCGCCGAGATCGCCGTGATGGATGGAGGGGAGGGGCACCTGCGGCGCGTCCGCGTCCTTGGCCGTGGAGGTGACGAAGCGCTGGAGCAGCGCCTGCTTGACCTCAAGGAAGACTACCCCGCGCAGGAGGCAGAGCCGGCCGCCGAGCGTGTGCGCCTGTGCGCGGCCGCGCGGGGAGGGCAGGCGGGTCGGCGCGGCGGCGACGGCGCGGCGGGGAGGGGCGAGGGGAGGGCCGCGGGGAGGGGTGTGGGGAGGGGTGTGGGGAGGGGTGTGGGGAGGGGTGTGGGGAGGGGTGTGGGGAGGGGTGTGGGGAGGGGAGTGCGCCTCGTGCGTGTGTGCCTCGTGTGTGCCGCGTGAGGAGTGGCGCGTGGAGTGGACGAGGGGGGAGAGGGGCAGGAAGCGTCAGGAGGTGTCGGAAGTGTCTGGCGTGCCTCGTGCTCGCGCGAGGAGTGCACGAGGGGGGCGAGGTGCGCGAGGAGCGCATTGAACCGCTGGATGAGGACAAAGCGCGCGCAACGCGCCTCGGCCGCCGACGCCTGCAGCGCTCGCCGGTCGGAGGAAGAGGGCGCGCCGTCGTGGGAGAGGGAGGCGAGCAGCGCCGGCCGAAGAGTGAGGGCGGAGCCCGGCCGGTCGGCGCTGCTGCTGCTGCCGCCGCCACCGCCGCCGCCGCCGCCGCCGCCCGCGCCGCCGCCGTGCGCCGAGCCGTGCTGCGAGTCGACGTACCGGACCAACTCCTCGTCGAGCCGCGGCTCCCACGCGGCGAGCGCTCGCGCAACCTCCGCTCGCGCTGCCCCCGCGGCGCCGTCCACGCCCGACGCTCGCGCGGCGTGGCGGAGCGACGGCGGCGGCGGCTCTGCCCCGCTCCCCGGTGGCAGGAGCAGCCACTTTGAGAGCGAGGAGAGCTCTGCGATCTCGTCGAGGTAGGGCAGCGCCGCCTCCCACAGCGGCAGCCCCTCCGCGCGCAGCCGCTCGCGCAGGTCGACGAGCAAGTCGAGCATCGCCTGCGCGGAGGGGGCACACGGGCCCGCGTGGCGGGAGGGAGCGGCGAGGAGGAGTGGCGGGGAAGCGAACAAGCGCTGTGCGCGGAGGGGCGACGCGCGCCTGGGACCCGGCCGGCAGCAGCGGCGGCACTCTCTGCCTCTCGTAGAGCTCCTCGTGCCACTCAACGATCGCCTCGAGCGAGCCGAAACGCGCCCAGTCAAAGTCGACGTCGCGCAGCGTCGCGTGCGGCAGCACGCGCAGCAACACGTGGCACACGCGCTCCTTGCACGGCGCGCCGCCGCTCCGGAGGTAGCGGAGAAGGTTGGCGAGCACGCTCGGGCGCAGCAGCTCCGCCGGCCTCCGCTCGGCCAGCAGGGAGAGCAAGTCGAGAGGGCTGGCGTGCGGGAGCGCGAGGGCGGCGGCTTGGCTGCGCGCGCGCCAGCCGACCGGCGTGGCCCGCAGCTTGAAGCCCCACGCCCGCTCGCTGTTGTGCGGCGCGGTGTAGTGCAGCCACACGCGGTCTGCGCGAACCCACAGGCCCTCGCTGCAGAGCAGGCCTGTTCGCAGCGCAAGGGGGTGAGCGGCGTCGACCCACACGCACCGACACGTGCGTCGCCGCAGCGCGGGCCGTCGCCCTCGCAGCACAGCAGCTGCTGCGTGCACGCCGCGTCGGCGTAGAGGGCGAGCCGCGCCCCGCGCGCCAGCTGGCTCCTGGGCGCGGGGGTGTCAGCGGGCGCGTGTCGTGCGGAGGGGCGGAAGGGGGGGGGGGTTGGGGGCGGGGACGTGTGGTCGGAGGCGCGGGTCGGCGTGGTGGCTCATTCATCAGTTCGTTAATGGGTGGCTCGTTAATTACGTATAACTACGTAACGGTGGGTCGGCGGGCGAGCCAAGAGCTATCCGACTGGTGCGTGGCTGGGAGAGGGGCGGGGGTGTCTCGGAGGTGTCCCGCGCCTCGCGTCGAAGGTGAGGGAGACGAGGCTCGCGCCCGGGCAGTGCAGCGCGCGCACAAAGTCCGTGCAAGCGGGGTGCGTCGTCTCGACCTCGCGCACGCCCGTGGCGAGCAGCGCGAGGCCCGCCACCGCCTCGTCGCCCAGCCGCTGGCCGAAGCTGGCGAAGGCGGGCACGGCGGCGTGCAGCGCCTAGGAAGTGTCTAGGAAGTGTCTAGGAAGTGTCGGCGAGGTGTCCCCGAGGTGTCTGGGGAGAGGCGGGCACGGCGGCGTGTGCAATGCCTCGTCCGACACGAGCGAGCTCAGCACCGAGTGGCCGGCGGCAGCCTCTGCGGAGTCGGCGAGCGGCGCGAGCGGCGTGGAGCCGGTCCCGCGGAGGGCCAACTTGGCGAGCGCGAGCACGTCCTCCGGCTCCCCTGTCGACGGGAGGAAGCTGTGACGAGACGCGGCTCACAGCAGCGGGCGGCGAGCGAGCGCCGCCGGAGCGCCAAAGCCGCTGAGCGAGAAGGCCGAGCTGCTGTCGAGGTGCGCCACGTGCAGCGAGGCCACCCGACCGAGCAAGTGCAGGGCGGCCCCGCGGGCATACGCCGTCGCGACGCAGCGGTGCAGCGCGGCGGCCTGACGAGATTTCCCGAGATTACCCGGGGCCACCCGAGATTCTCCGACGCGGCGGTGCAGCGCGGCGGCCTGCCGCAGCCGCGCCCGTTGGCTGAGGGTGCTGTCCTCGCCGGGGCACGAGAACGGCCAAGGGCCGCATCGAGCGGCGGGCGGCGGATCGCCGCCGCCGCCAAGAGGAGGGGCGAAGCCGCCGGAGCAGGAGGAGGTGGACGCAACGCCACTGCCGCCGGCGGCGCCACCGCCGCCGCTGCCGCCGGCGGGGAGGGCGGCCGGGAGGGCGGCGGGGAGGGCGGCGGGGAGGGCGGCGACGAGGCGCGCGACGCCGGTGTCGGAGGGGTAAAAGTCGTGCCCAGGCGACGGGCAAGTGCGCGAGGGCCGCTGCGAGACCGCGGCGAGGCGGCGGCTCGAGGAGAGGCTGCGCCGGAACCAAGAGCCGCCCGCCCGCTCGCGCCGCTCCTTCAGGGGGCGCGGCGGCGCCGGCGGCGACGGAGTCGCGGCGGCCACAGCCTCCGCGCCATCGCCGTCGGAGGGCGGCTGGGCTTGCGGCTGGTCGGCGGAGGCCACAGAGGCCACAGAGCGAGCCAGCGCCCAAGTCCCGCGACCGGCACCGCCCGATCGCGGCCGGACGCGGCTCTGCGGCCCGGGCTGCGCGCCGACCCACTCGGCCCACTCCTGTTCGCAGACGCAGCTGTGAAGGGGCGCTCTTCGTGGAGTGCCGTCGGCCCGCCCCATCCCTCGCTCCTGCGGCCAGCCGAGGAAGAGGACGCGGACCTGCTGCCCGCCTCCCCGCACCGCGAGGACCTCCGCCTCGTGCCACTCGCCTACACGCCCGCGACCGACACACACACCTCACCGCCTCAGGGCGACCGCGGCTCCGCGGCGTGCGACGCGTGCGCACCAGTCTCGTCCGACACGTCCACCACCGCGCCAACCTGCGGCGGCGGCGGTGGCTGCTCGCCTCCGCCGCCGCCCGACGCAGCGGCGGCCGGAGCGCCGAGCAAGTACTCGGCGGCGAGCTGCAAGTCGTAGCTGGAGCGGGCGAGCGCGTCGCGGCACAGCTCCTACTCACGGCTGCAGCGGTGTGGGGGCGGCCTCCTCCTCACGCGCCGGGGTGCGGGGCGGAGGTCTTCCGTCGAGAAGCCCATCGATGCCAGCTCGGCCGCCTGCACCTCCGACGGGAGGAAGATAGGGGGAGATCTGGGGAGATCTGGGGAGATCTGGGGAGATCTGGGGAGATCTGGGGAGATCTGGGGAGATATGCGCCTGCACCTCCGACGGGAGGGGCGCCGGATGCCCCTCGTCGAGCGCCGCCTGCGGGGCGTGTCGCGGACCCGTCAGGGACGCGTCCGCGTCGTGCGTGTCCCGCCTGCCGAGGGCCGCCTCCAGCGCCTCGAGCCACTCCGCCGCGCGGCCCACGTCGCCGCCGGACAGCTCGAGCGCCTCGCGGCTCACTTCCTCCTCGAAGCCCTGCGCGCAGAGCAGCAGCAGCTTCTCGCCAGCGTCGAGCTCAGGCCCCAGCTCCGCCTCCCATGCGCAGCAGCCGCCACGCCGCCCTCGCGCCGCCTTGCGCGGCGGTCCGCACCCGTCGCAGCCCGCCGCCAGCCCCGCCTCGCACGCAAGCAGCGCCTGCTCCAGCCGACTCGCCTCGTGCGACGCACCGCCCGCGAGCGGCGGCGGCGTGATGGCGGCGGCAAGGAGGAGGCGCAACCCGCCGTGGTGGAGCAGCTTCGTTGTGGCGGCTTGGCTGCCCCCGTCGAGCAACGCGTGGAGCAGCTTGAGGCGGCGGCTGTGCAGCAGCTCGACGAGGGGGCGCGCGTGCGGCGCCTGCGGTGTAGCCGAGGCAGGTGAGGGGCGGCGAGGAGGGGACCGGGCACTCGGCACACTCGCGCAAGCATAGGGGCGGCTCAACGCGGTGTCCAGAACGCGAGCCCAACGGAGAGCAGCGGGGTGCGTGATTGGCGCCACTCGCGGCGGAGGGGCCTTCTTCGTGTCTAGGGTGCGGCCGCCGGTCCGAGATCCATCCTGGCCAGCAAGCAAGGCAGGGCGGTGTCGAGATCCACCACGCTCGCCGCGGCGCAGCGCCGCTCGAGCAGCGGCTCCGCCGAAAGCGCCGGGACGCGGTAGCACCTCCAGAGCTCGCCGTCGGCCGCGGCGCCTGCTCCCAACCACACTGTGAAGAGACGCTGCCCACGCGCCCTCCACGCACCCTCGGCGGCGGCGCCGAGCAGAGCGCTCTCCGCGCCGAGCTCGAGCAGCACCGCCTGCCGCACACGTGCTGCTGTGAGGACGTTGCTCTCACGGCCGTGCGGCCCCAATCGCGGCGCTCGCCTCTCCGTGGCCGGCTTGCGCCTGGCCGCCCGGGTAGAGGCCGGGCTCGTGCGCGCCTACTCTCGGCGGAGTCTCTGGCAGAGGTGTGTGTGTGTGTGTGTGTGTGTGCGCACCTACTCTCGCGGGGAGGTGTGTGTGTGTGTGCGCGCGCGCCGGCGACGAGGAGCGAGCCGACGACATGGTAGAGGGAGGGGGGCGCCCTCGAGTAGGGCGATGCCGCCGCGGTGGCGCCCTGCTCCGCGTCCGCAAAGTGCTCCGCGGCCTCGCCCCCCCCCGAGGCACCACCTTGCTCCGCTGCTGCGCCTTGCGGCTCATCGTTATCGAGCAGCTGGCGGAGCACGGCGCCAAAGCGCGCCAAGCCCTCGTTGAGCGCTGCGGCCATGGAGCGATCGCCCGCGTCGCCACCCCCCGCGCCGCCCTCACTGCAGCCCTCACTGCCGCCCTCCCTGCGGCCGCTCGCGCCGCCGCCTCCGAGCAGCCGGTGCCGTGCCAGCGCAACCATCTCATTCAGCACGGGCCCGCCGGGCTGCCCGCGTGGCCGGCGAGCGCCGAAGACCGGGCGCGCGCCACCGCACGCCTCCCGCCCGATGGCCTCGAGGAGGGCTGTGCCGACGGGGAAGGCCGCCTCGCCACAGAAGCGGCTCGGCTCCGCCAGAGAGAGCGAGAACGGGAGGGCGCAGCGCAGCAGGCGCAGCGAGAGGGTGACTGCCTGTGGGCGGCCACTGCGCGCAAGGACGCCCAGCGCTGCGAGAGTCTCGTCACCCGCGAGGTGCCGCACCGCCGCCTCGCAGCCGCAGATCGAGAGGAGGAGCGAGAGGAGCGGGCAGACCACGCCCTCCGCCTCCTCCTCCTCCGCCGCCGCCGTCTCCTCCCCCGCCTCCTCCCCCGCCTCCTCCCCCGCCTCCTCCCCCGCCTCCTCCCCCGCCTCCTCCCCCGCCTCCTCCCCCGCCTCCTCCGCGGCATCGGCGGACGTGGTTGGCAACTCGGGCGCGGCGCCTCTGCTGGTGAGACGCGCAGCCTCGTCCGCGAAGCACACCAGCTCCGAGGTGAGGAGGCCGAGCAAGCACTCCTATCGACAGAGGCCGGTCTGGAGTGGCGCGCGGACGGGTGCGGCGCCCCGCCTGGCGCCGGCGCCTGGAGCGGAGTGAGGCTCGCGCCGCTCCCGTGCCCGGCGAAGGAGGTCAGGACCAGGTGCTCGTAGAGCTGGCTGCCGACTGGGTGGCGGCTCCGCCGCAGCCGGTCCAGCAGCGCGGCGACGTCGATGCTCTCGTTGCAGAGCAGCGCGCCGTCGCGCCGCCCGAGCGGGACGAGCCACGGCGCAGCGAGCAGCCGCAGCCAAGCCTCGTCGCTCGCCCCGTCGCTCGCCCCCTCCTGCGGCAGTCGCGGTGGACCGCCGCCCAAGCCCTCGACGGCGGCGCGGAGCCACTCGCCCA